AATCAAGAGACTCACAGTCACGGTCAAGAAACACAAGGCCACGTACAAGAGACTCACGGCCATGTTCAAGAGACTCACGGCCACTCAGAAAAGACTCAAGGCCACTCAGAAGAGAGTCACGGCCACGATCAAGAGACTCGCGGCCACAATCAAAAGACTCAAGGCCACTCAGAAGAGCCTCGTGGCCACGTTCAAGAGACTCACATTCATGAGACTCACGGCCACGCACAAAAGACTCAAGGCCATGTTCAAGAGACTCCCTTACTAAAGACTCATGACGAAGTACAAGAGATTAATGGGCACGTTCATAAAATGTATACCAACGTTCACGAAAGTCATGGAAGCGCTCACAAAAGTCATGGAAGCACTCACGAAAGTCATGGAAGCTCTCACGAAAGTCAGGCAAACGTTCACGAAAGTCAGGCAAATGTTCACGAAAGTCAGGCAAATGTTCACGGAAGTCACGGAAACGTTCACAGAAGTCAGGTAAACGTTCACGAAAGTCAGGGAAACGTTCACGAAAGTCAGGCAAACGTTCATGAAAATCCTGGAAACGTTCACAGAAGTCATGGAAACGTTCACGAAAGTCAGGCAAACGTTCATGAAAATCCTGGAAACGTTCACGAAAGTCAGGGAAATGTTCACGAAAGTCAGGCAAACGTTCATGAAAATCCTGGAAACGTTCACAGAAGTCATGGAAACGTTCCCGAAAGTCAGGAAAACGTTCACGAAAGTCAAGCAAATGTTCACGGAAGTCACGGAAACGTTCACAGAAGTCAGGTAAACGTTCACGAAAGTCAGGCAAATGTTCACGGAAGTCATGAAAATGTTCAAGAAAGTCAGAAAAACGTTCATGAAAATCATGGAAACGTTCATGAAAATCATGGAAACGTTCACGAAAGTCAGGCAAACATTCATCAAAGTCAGCCAAATGTTCACGGAAGTCATGGAAACGTTCAAGAAAGTCAGGAAAACGTTCATGAAAATCATGGAAACGTTCACAAAAATCATGGTCACGGTCGCCGTGTTCAAGAGAGTCATGGACACAAAACAACTACTACATCTTGGCACGGAATGAAAAGGAAGGACGAGCATAAAGGTATGCCCTTACTGTATTGTTGACCTATAGTGGTGTACAACTATTCAGTGAATACACTTTTATTACAAACTAAACAAAATTGGACAACAAAAAAAGTTCTTTACTTTTTCAAAAGAAATGGTGTGCATTAGTCTCCAAATTGTCTTAGGGGCATGTACATTAGACTTATGATGACACTAATGGCCAAATAACAACGTCATCTGGGCGCGTGAAGGGGAAAATTAGCAAAAAAAATCTTATGTGCACTGTAGTTATTGTGTAACTAGTATAATGACTAGGAGGAGGAGGAAATATGCAGGAGAGAAACTTTCAAAATGAGTCAAAACTAAAGATATGTCAATGAAATGTGTTGTGTGTCAGTCTCCCACAACCCTGAGGGAGATGTTCAGGAGACTCATGACCACAAAACAACAACCTCATTTGGGCACGTGGAGGAAAGGGAGGCGGAAGAAGCAAAAGCAGAGATAAAAGGTACATCTTTTATATGTATTAGCGGAAATAGGATAGTAGTATAATCATTGCAGTGAATATAAGATCGACCTTTGGCTTAATATAAACTAAAATCTTTGTATTGGTTTCTTTTGTTGACGACAATCTTGGGCAGTCCCTAACAAGGCTGAGGAACATGAACATCAGTCTCATAGACGTGCACATGAGTCTCATGGACCCATACACGAGACCCAAGGACACTCACACGAGACCCTAGGACACTCACACGAGACCCTAGGACACTCACACAAGACCCAAGGACACTCACACGAGACCCAAGGACCCTCACACGAGACCCAAGGACACTCACACGAGACCCAAGGACCCATGCACGAGGCACATGGACCCAGACACGAGAGTCAAGGAACCATACATGAGACCCAAGGACACTCACACGAGACTCATGGACACTCACACGACACCCAAGGACACTCACACGAGACCCAAGGACCCATGCACGAGGCACATGGACCCAGACATGAGACCCAAGGACATGGGTCTCATCAACCCATGCATGAGGCACATGGACCCAGACACGAGAGTCAAGGAACCATACATGAGACCCAAGGACACTCACACGAGACTCATGGACACCGGACCCAAAGCTTATCTGTGCACGGAGGAGAGCAGTATGGAAAAGGTATCCGTTTTGTATGTAGCAACAGAGTCGTATAGGTTAGTTTACCTGAACTTGGCAAGTCCAAGTGATAAAATGGGAATGTATTTGTGTCTATTCTGCAATGTTTACGAGAAGAGAGCAAGAAAAGAACTAAAGTGAGAACCTTATTGAGGTTGCGGGTAAAGAAGAATTCATTAAAGTTGAAACGTACGCTGTGCGTCTCACACTTTGTTGGATGTTGTTGTCAGTAGTCTCTCTAGTTCAGATAAACAGCCCGAGATGATCTTTGCTACGTCGATGTAGATTGATTTGCAAGTTGTTGCTCCTTTGTAGTTCACCACCTACCTGAGTGGGACAGAGGGAGGCATGAGAGCCAGAAACACACTTCTGGGAGAGAAGATGAAGACAGAGACGAGCATGAAAGAGAGAAAACGAAAGGTAGAATTTGAACGTGTGTTGATAGCGATAGTGATTCGTTGCGGTTTTGGGACCCAAAATTTATCCTGACGTCAATATTAACTCACACAATATTGCATTTATAGCTCCATTAAATGCGGTGATTGAATCATTTGAGGGCCATAGTCTATCATCATTTTCTTGGCTTAATCTACAAATTGACATTTCTATTAATCTCTTACACTTTAGCCTTTAAGGCTACAATATTTCCCCCAAAACATTATAATTGTTTGTTTGTTTTTTACTCACCCACTTGGAATATCTTCAATAGAGATCCCTTTGTTTTTTGACTTATAGACTTTTGCCCAGCTGACAGTTCTTAAGGCACTTTAAGGACTCATAGTCCATAACATGGTAAAACATTCACGTCACACCATCTTCTTGGAAGCTCGCGGGATGACTTTTGGGTTGTGTGCTTCCATTGAAGAGACTAGGTAGAATCTAGTGGGAGCCCCCGTTAAGCCGATCCATAGGACCCCTCTGAAGTAGTGGTGGCCCGGGTGTGTGAAGGTGTAGCGCCGTAGATGACTGTAGCGCCGCAAGTGATCCGGAGATCAATCTTCAACAAAGATTCCTTCGTTCCTCAAGGGCTCCTGAAACTCTTGATCTCAGGAGAGCCGCAGGCCAGACATTTGTACGGGATCATATACGATGATTTCAGAGGTAAGAGACGTGGTCGGAAAAACACAAAGGAGAATCAAGCTCGGTTAAATCCTCTGGTGCTTTGGTTCATTTCAGTGATTGTAAACTCTCTCCGAGTGTGGGAACACTTTTTTCAAGCAGCAACCTGTGGAATAATTCCTTTCATTGCACGTCTTGTCTTGTGTTTTTCATTTTGCTCTTTCCCATGCAACTCCCTCTTGGTCCTGTTTTTGCTTTATGTGCATGATCAAGGTGAGTATTTAGACTCTTAACTTCATATTAACCCATCAAACAATCACAGTTACTGACATTGTTGTGTATTGATTCTAGAAAGGAGGGTTATTAACTGCATATGCCGTTATTCCATCATCCAGAGACTCTTTGATGCAGGCACCTCTGACCGTCTTGTCACTGAAAACAATTCACAATTGATAACAGAATAAAGCAGCATCACGACTCCTATAGTTTCGTTGTGGAAGAATGTCCCATTGCAATTCTAGTCCGTCTTGTAATTGGCCATTTATATTTAATTAGGCAGATCTTCCCCCACCGCCAGCATGGTTTCCTCAGTGCTGAGAGAGGCACTTTATGGCGCTGCACGCGTTTCCTTTCAAACCAGCTCATTAATATTTCAGCTGGCATCATCAACCAAACAATAATAAAATAATAATGTGACGGCTGATTAAACAGCTAAACTCCGACTTTTTAATGTGCATTTAAATGTGTATTTGCATAAACATGCCTGGTAAACGCCTCTTTAGAGGACAGTGATGCCTTGCAGCACACTATTGCAGGCAACTTCTGAAGCTTAATAAAACCTTAATTAGCAACCAGACTCTGCCAAAATAATTGTAGTGAGAATGTAGAGCACCACTTGCTGCACAATGCAGATCCTACAGTAAATTATCACATGCTTTCATTTCTCCCTCTCTGGAAAAACATGCAAAAGTTCTTACACCGGTGGCTGCAGCATATTTTTTGTTAGCTTCGGTTTTAGGGTGGGAAATATGGATAAAGTCTTAATTTATCAAGCGTATGAGCATGAAGAGATCATATTTTCAAGGGAAAATTGAATAAAGAGCTTTGATTGTGCAGCGCCTCATGGAAGATAATTTAAGATGAGGAGATGTAGAACAAAATGTGAAAGAGAGGCGGAGCAGGGGAGGTTTTCTATCAGGACAAGTGGTGTCAGACCGATTTCACAATCTCAGGTGCGGCCCTGAAACAACTCCTGTACCGTACCACTCACCTTAGTCTCCCCTGGTTATGATTCTGTAGCTTATGACCTACTCGTCTGGTAACGCCATCAAATTCCCAGACACATTTAACACACCTGCACTCTGACTCCAGCACACCAGTACACACAAACACGCACGTACACACGCAGGATAGTGGAATTCCCATCAGCAATCAGTGCAGCCCAGTGAAGCAGACTCAGCAAACCTGTGAACGTCGTAATGGCGAGGGAGGGGTCTGCCTTTATTGAACCAATATAGAGTCGGGAAGTCATAAAACACACGCGCGCAGTCGTTCATTTGTTCACTGGCGTCTGAAAGTAAAGCCATCAGACGTCTCAGTTAATGCAAGTAATCTATCACTTCCAGCGGCCGCTGGAGAATCCCACCAGCCTGCGCCTACAGGGTATCGACTTTGTACCGTCATCTCCCTCTAGTGAACGCGTGTCCTTCCTTTCAGACTGCGAGTGCTACGGCCACTCCAACCGCTGCAGCTACATCGACTATCTGAACATCGTCACGTGCGTCAGCTGCAAGCACAACACCCGGGGCCAGAACTGCCAACACTGCAGGCTGGGCTACTTCCGCAACGCCTCCGCCGAACTGGACGACGAGAGCGTCTGCGTGGGTCAGTGTGCGCCATGGGGGGAGAGGAGGGAGTGTCCGTGTGGTGGTGGTGGTGGTGTGTGGGTGACTGACTGACGGAGGCAAAGGGCGGTCAAGAGTTTTTAACGTTTTGGGTTTTTTCAGAGCGAAGATTACGACAAGACGGTGGTTTAGCGGTGACATTTTTAACAGGCACACAGTAAAAAAAAAACAATTTGTGGCTTGACGCTGTAATATATACAGTGCGCTTACTATGGGATTAAGGATATGTAAAAAAGGCCTTAGAGTCAGCATGAATAAGGCCCTATTAGCTCATACGACCCGTTCAGACAACAACATCTCCAGAGCACGAAACCCTCTGAAGTATTAATGCATTTACACAGATGTTTTACACGCATCAACGCAGAAGACCCGCAATCACAAAGGTTGTGTAATGTGTTTAATTGATATGAATATTTTATCATTTTATTACAAATGAGTTAATTTGATCGTGGGTTTAGCTTGTACTGGCTTGCATCCGATCAGGAGGGAAACTCTGGTCAACCGACTGACAAGATGCAAAGCAAATAAAGCAGTTTTCTACCATGTCTCATCCGGTTATTAGTCCGTCTCTATAAATATATGCACTTCTAACAATGACCACTCGCAGGAATAAAAGTAATTCATGTGATAAAAAAGGACAAATGCAAATCCACGCTGCGGCGGTTAATCTTTTTGTTGATGTTCATGCTGGACATCCTGACAACAATCAATATATGCCATCCTCTAAATAAAAACAAAATATCCTCTTACTGATGATGATTTGTGGACGAGGCTTTGAAAGGAGGCTTGAAAAGGCCAAACTGTCAGTGTTTGCAACTTGGCATCTTTCTGGCTCCTTTTGAGTTGGCAACACAGCAGTAAATCTTTCCCAGAAATATTTGACATGAATCTTAGTAAGTAGGCATTTCAGTACAAGTTACTGTAATTTGCAAGGACGAGAGCTCATGGTGTTCCTGAGGGTAAATAATAGATTACACAGCAGTCGCTTTATAGCCCATTACATGCATCACAATAGTTTTACAGACAAATCTTTGTCACAGAGGTGCATGGTGATCTGAAGAGGGCCCAAACAAAAAAGGTCTTACTCTCTGCAGCATCTTGAATCGTCTCTGTACTCGGACAAACTCGCAGAGAAAAGCATCAATACCCTAAAAAAAAAAACAGTGTTCTGAATGCAAATGTTGCACGTCTTTGGCTGAACTTCTTTCAAACGCTCATTCTAAATGCCCCCCCCTCTCCTTTTCTTTTCCTCAGAGTGTAACTGCAACCAGATGGGCTCGGTTCACGACCGGTGTAACGGCACAGGCTTCTGCCAGTGCAAAGACGGCGCCGCGGGCGCCAAGTGTGACGACTGTGAGCCGGGATACTACTGGAAACAAGGCTGTTACTGTGAGCATCACCTGCGTTCTATGTCGGTTTCGGGCAGGTTAGCGTGTGCGACTCCTGGTGTGTTGTTTACTCCAGTGGAGGGGGACGGGGGGACGGGGGAATAGATCATGTAGCTCATTAGCGGCATCAGCTGCTCCTTTAATTGATGACCCTGTCGGTGCTTAACCCCATTATGGGAAATCGCCCTTCCTCTACCATCTACCATAGTGAGGGGCCTCAGTGTAAATATCACAAATGCTGCGTATTTCCAGCTGGGTTTGAGATTTTAACTTGACCCTGAGAAAGTGCAGGCTCAAGAAAAAACAGGCAGAGAAAAGAAAGAAATGCAGGTGTTAACTGTTCCTGTCCCGGAGGAAAAAACTGAAGAATGCATCTTCCTCTTCCCTTCCTCCTGCTTTCTTTTCTACTTTGTTCCGTCTGCCCTGAATTCTACTACACACCCCTTTGTTTGTGTTTCCCATCACGCTTCTTCAACATTGCCCCTGCTTACCTTCCCTCACCTGTCTCTTTGCCGTACATCTTTCTTTCTCCTTTATGATCTTCACACCCCCTCTATCCTTTCACCGCCTGTCAATCTGTCACTTTATCCCCGCTTCCTCTCTCATTCCCCGTCCTCCCTTCCTCTCCTCCTTCGTCTCCTTTTTCTCTGCGCTCGCAGCCAACGTTTGCGACGAGGAGATGCTCCTGTGTCAGAACGGAGGAACGTGCCACCAGAACCAGAAGTGCGTCTGTCCCCCGGAGTTCAAAGGGGTGCTGTGCCAACAGTCCCGCTGCGAGGCGGGCAAGGACTGCAACGCCGCCTCTTCCCTGCACCCTCCCACGGCCACCCTGCTGCTCTGCACTCTGCTCGCCGGCCTGCTGGCCACGCTAAGTCCGCACTGAGCCACGGCAAGAAGAGAAAACTCCACCACCTCGGAGTGTGTGTGTGTGTGTGCATGTGTGTGTGTGTACGAGAGGCAAACGGTGACCCCGGAATGGGAAGGGCTGCCGCCCCCCACACACACACACACACACGTACATGTACACGCACATGCACAACTCTTAACTAGCCCCCAGTCTCCTATTAACACATTATATATATATACACACACGCACACACACACACACAACAGGACTGTTATGAGTGTGTGCTCAGGTGTGAGAAGGACGAACAGAGAAGAAAAAGGTGAGCGACCTCGGAGAAAAAAGGGTGGAAGAAAAAGAAAAACGATACCAACCACTGTTCCCTTTTTTCCTGAGCTGGAGCAACGTGCATCAAACCAAAAAGCATAAACGAAACACTTAAAATCACCACTATTTCACGACCCACGAGGAGCTTATTTTTTTTCCTTCTTTTTTCTTGGTTGAGTTCAGGATCTCGGCTCTGTTTGACTGACACCACCTGTGCGTGCGTGCGTGCGTGTGTGTGTGTGTGTGTGTGTGTGTGTGTGTGTGTGTGTGCGCGCGGTCGGACTCGGTGAGAGAACGCGACGGGACGGACGAGTCAGGAGGCCAGATGTGCGTTCGATCCTGCTGCTGAGGCCTATATAGTATATAACCCAGGTTTCATTTTTCTCAAAAGATGATACTTCATTTTACATTTATTATATTTCTGCTGCATTCTTTTTTTATTATATCTTCAGTTATTGTATTTACTGTGCCCACTAACAGTCGCTGAGATTATACATATTATATAATATCCAGGGGGTTACGAATAATAAAGATTTAGTCACTATTATGGTTGTCATAGGAATGAGTGATTGTTGCCACACTTAGCGAGATTTAATTATCACACAGTATTCAGGAAGCAGAATTTAACAGAATATACCTTATCAGAAGTCTAAAAAAGAGAGAAAAGATATCGACCACGTATCAATATTATATGACATTATTTGAATATTTTTTGTAGAAATTATTTTTGTTTGGAGTTACAATAAATTATGAAAAATGACATTTACAACTATTCCAAATGAGCGTTTTATTACACCGAGTGTAAAGCTTGCAGTAAAATGACTGTTATTTGCCTTCTTGCTTGTACTTTTGTCATTCAAACGAGTGTACACACTGTTAACATATTGTTTCCCCAGCGGGGTGAAAAGGTCATCCTTTTAACCATCCAATCCATGTTTGACGTTGTGTTAAATGCTCTTAATTACACACTAGTCACAAAGAACTGCTCCATGTCAGGAGAATATAAATTATTTTATTCCGATAACAGTTGCAAAGAGGTCTTTATATCTGAAAATGTCACCTGCAGATCCAGAACAATTGATGCACTAATTATAAAATGTGTTCCACTGTACAAACAATGGAGATATACTGATTCCTGAGAAAGCAGGACTGACCCCGAGGACGGATTTCTCATCTATAACTCTCCTTTGCAAGCCTGTTCCAGTAACAGGTTGGGTTTTGTAAAATAAATGAATATTTGCCTCTGTGAAACTATACGCCATAATTTCCCCGAGAAGTGTTGGTTTGCCGAGTCCGCCCAGGTGCACAGTGGATAAAGAGATGTGAACGCGGCATCACACCCAAGATAAAAGCCCGACTAAGCCGGTGAGAAACGACAAGACAAGGGATCCTTGTATTACTCCTTTCTGAGCCGCCGGTTGCTGTATTAACTATTCTGTGTGTACGGCTCATCCCCTTTGAGTCTGAATGGAGTCGAGGAGTGAGGCTTGGGAGGGAATGGTTTATGAATGTAACACTGACAAGCGCACCATTTCATTGTGGTACTAAGAGCAGGAAGTGAAAGAACAAAAAAATGTTTATATATATAGAAATACACTTGGATGAAATTAAAAGATTATGGTTGATATGAATATGTAAACGCCACTTTAATGTTGCAGCTGATTTATTCAATGTCAGCTTGCTTAATCTGTAATAACAAATAATAGTAATACATTTCGTATTTACATATTGTATAACTAATATGAATAGGAACTATTAACTACAGCTGTCACATAAAAGTAGTGTCATAAGTAGAATATTATCCTAATGGATCTAAGCAGCGACAGACTGGGATGAAATACAACTTTGGACTTTTTGGCCCCCCATACTCAACAAAAAAGGGATTTATACATTTTTAATGAAGATAAAACCTTTTGTTCATGAATGAAATCCAACAAATGGGGTTGAGGTGCCAAATGATGCCTCTGTTTATGACAAAACTGAATCATTTTATCATTAGAGCTTTATTAGGCTAATAAATGAATATTCACATGAACCTACCTACCTACTTAAATTAAAATGGAGCAACGCCTCTGCTTTGAGAGGAACCCGGAGACATATAGAGAATTAATGAGTCAACTCGGCAAACAGAAAGCCGCTCTTTTTTATTCCATCTCCGAGCTGCAATGTGAGTGTAAAATAACTATTTTAGTGTTATGTTTAATCACGTAGAGATGCAGAAACAAGTACATACTGCCACACCACGAACATAACACCTCTCTAATCTATAGACGGTAACACCTGCCAACGCTAGCGTGTGTGTGTTTGTGTGCGCGTTTGTGTGTGTGTCCGAGATGAAGGCGTTTGTCGTCGGCCTCCTGAATGTGCCTCTGAGTTTGGTGAGAAAAAAAAGGCTCTATTTGTCCCCGTCATCTCTGTACTGTTTTCCCAGCTGGACCGCAGCCTCGTGTTTGGAGTGTTTGGGGGGCCTTGAGGCTTCCTCGCCGCGGCTGCCTTAAAATCCCCCTTGTTTGTTGTCGACTTCCCCCGAGTTGTGCCCGCGGGCCGCTGTCGGTCACCTCTGCGGCCCCCCGCCGTTTACTCGTACGCGACCCGCTTTCTGCGTCCGGAGTCACGTGCTTCCCCGTGTTTGAAAAAAAAAAAAAAGATACCTCCAGGAGGGTTGGAGGTACAGTAAGCTCGGGCGAGACGGGTGTCCCTCTGGCTGAGCATCTCACGTTGTTTTAGGGGGGAAACGTGGAGGTCATTTGTTTCAAAAATGAGCCCCTCCAGGTTGGGACGCTTTATGCCAAGAAGCCGGATCAGTTGTTTCGATACCTGAACTCAGGGGAACAGGTTCCACTTCACCCTCCTTTGAAGAGAAGGAGGAAACGTAAAAAGGGCCGAACATGCGTGTTCTGTGACGAGCCATCCAATCAAACTAGTGCAATCAATAGTGCAAATGTACACTAAAGCACATCTTAATAAGGGAAACTACTGAAGGCTTTGATAAAAAAGAAATAAAAGTAAGTAAGTAATCTCTTCTCGTTGTAAGCAATCTGGCTCATCAATAACAGATGAAGACGAATGGAAAACTATATTTTCATCAGCCTAAAAAAAGACCAGCCTAAAATAATCGCTGCTAAAATGTGGATAATGCGCGAGCTTATATTGTCAGCTGTCACTCATGGAGAAAATCCTTCAACTAAATCATGTAAATCATCTCATGAACTCCATCAACTTTTCCATTTCTGAACAGACAACAAGGACCATAACAATATTTCCCCTGGAACAGACCCCCCCATCCCATAACCCCCCCCATCCCACTTGTTTGTATTCACGAGGAGACACGGAAGGTGGAGTGAGTGAACCACCGGGGTCTGCGCTTCGTAAAGGAACACTTTGTTACTCCACCTGTGAAGCCGTGGAAACCACTAAATAACACTGCATTACAACGCATGAATAATTCATGTATCAATATGCCATCACTGTATATACAGGGATGCAACAGTTGGCTCTAAAGATTTGACTTTGACTTGTGTGTACGCGCACGCACACACACACACACACACACACACAAGGCCCTCCCACCTCAGGTCACAGCCTTCCCTAGAGTACACATTTAAATCCTTCGGGGAAATTGCAGCATACGACGTGATGATCCACTGGGCCGAGGAAAAGGTGTATTTGACTGAAACTAAATGAGCATCAGCGCATCGTATCTACCAACAGAAGTACAGTGAAAATCAGGCCACGTTAACCCCAAACCACCTGGTTCACAACTGTAGCAAGCGGAGGAAGGAAGAATTCAAATTGTGGCTTCTTGTCTTTAAAGAGTACCAATCCTAAACGAGTGCATGATCAATTACCTGCATGCATGTGTGGAAAAAACTGAGATGCAAAACTAAATATGACAAATAAATGCACGAATTAACTGAATTGTTATGGATTAGTCACCAGTCATTTCAGCGAGTATCGGAGGAGTAATCAATAACGGTGACTTTCTCCTCTCCTTGTGGTACTTTTTTCCGGCTCTGTATACGAGTTAAGTGAGATTATTTCCGACAGCAGCTCGACTGCGCTGGCTGACCCCTCAACACAGAGACCCCCGACGCGGCGTGACCCAGAATCGCAATGATGAACAATTGGATCAGTAAATCATGATGTGACCCTGTTGGCTACACAGTGTATTTATCGTCGATTCAGGAGGTAACTTTAAAATGTTTTATCTTTGGAACCACTCCTTCCATACACATCATCATCAGCATCATCATCATCATCGTTGTCATGCGCCTGTTAACAGGTGACGGTGCTGCTCCTGCTCCCACTACATTTTGGTATAAAGATGGCGGCCGCTCTGCAGCGCGTAACCCTCCAAACGCCTCCCGCCTCAGGCGAAGAAATGACAGTCGGCGAAGCGGCCGAACATCACAGCCCTAAATGCCAGTTGTATGTCTCGGGGGCGGGATGTGTGCCCTCTGCGCTGCTCCTGCAGACGTGCGCGCCGGTGCAGATGTGAGATCAGATGTCCATCGCTTGGAGCTCACGGGCCCGACGAGGAACGATATATAAGACACATCTGCAATGGTTTTCGTGGGGTTTTCTGTTTTCAGGCTTTAAAAAAACAGGAGTCTTGGTCAGATTTCTTTGCATTTTTAAAGACCACTGTCACAGATGGAGTCTGGGTGCCGTGAGGAGGAGGAGGAGGAGGAGGAGTTTTTTTTTTTTCCATCTCATTTGATGTTTTTGTAAATTCTGCTGCGCTTTCAAGGACTGCGGAATTTGAGTCCTACCTCTGCAAAGCAATCTGTCTAAGGTTTCAGCAGACACAGCTTCCCAGATATGAGGAGCAGACATGAAGGCAACATCTCTACCCTACAGACGCTGCTGCTTTTTCGCATTTGAATCCATTAAACGCTTTGTCGCAGTAGCACTTTCTCGCCCAGTCATTTTACAGGACTCACAACGACAAACACATTATTCACCATTCATAAATATATGTTTAGCATTTGATGGAGGTACTAGTTAAGTCATGACCGACAGTCCAGTTTAAGAAACAGATCCATGAGTTAATTATAACGGTGTATAATTCTCCCAAAATGTTATAAAAGCTGGAATTGATGGCTTTTCTTGGTGGCAAATTTTATTCAACTAGAAGCTCAGATACATTACTAAGCAAAGAAACCACAGTTTGACCTCAATATATTATTATTTCAATGGGAATCTATGACAGGATTAACAGTAAGGGAGTCCAGGTCTAAATAGAAAACTCCATTTACCTGCTGCATAGAATTCAATGACACACAAGGAACACGGAGCATGAAGAGAAAACATTTGAGTATTGGAATTGGACTGCGTACGTATTCTCGTTCTACTTCTTTCGGCTGCATGTTGCCAGAGGGGCTTCAGTTAAGATATTGACAGAGCTGCTCTTCATTGGCCTCATTAGGACTCACACTTCAAATGGTTCAGTAGCACGTATACGTGCAAACACAGAGACAGCCAGCAGGTACAATGTTGATAAGACTCTCCCGTAAGATTCAAATCAACTCATCGTGTTATTTGGACTGGAAACGCTGTAATGTAACACTGTTTAGACATTCACTGTATTGGTTAACAGATACAAATGTGCAGTTTACATAAAACAATGTTACAAACACTGAATACCCTCCAAAATAATAAAAAACAATCTGTTTAATCCGTAATGCGTTGCCAATGGCAGTTGCAGTGAAGCAGCCCCGCCGTAGAGTTCAATCAATTAATGTCACAGAACATTTTAAATAATGGGTTATAAATACTGGCCTTCGTGTGGAAGAAAGTCGAATATTTCTGCATGCTCATCATTGATGCACCTGGTTTGCTTTCTGGCAACGAGAACCACGGATGACACCGGCGCATTCGTCCTCGGCTTGGTGACTTTTATTCAAAACGTTGTCCGTGAGGACGCCGGGGAGCTGACCGTCATCCCTCACAGTCACAGGGAACAGCAGAGAGCACGTACCTCCAGATGGCTTTGTCTGAAGCCTCATTTGGGTGTAAAGTACTTTCCGTCACCAAGACAGGCTGAAGGGGAACATCTGAGGCAGAGACGCAACTGAAGTTTTTTAAAGAACCACCTAAGCGGAGAATGTTTGTATGAAATCCCCCTCAGATACACGGCACGGCGGTGACAGGAGTTCGGGTTAAACGCAGTGACAGCTAGTCGATTTCAAGCAGCAGGAGAGAATTCACAGGCCCGGCTCGGCTGATTTCAGCCTGTCCAACCAGATCTG